GTTGAATTGCAAGGTGCTTTCAGGCAAGCCTAGATCGACCATGGTGCAGTTTGCCTTCTCGGGGTGGGTTTCCAACACTTGGCATGGTCGATGGAGTGTCCGAGCCCGTGGTAAAGGGATGGGAGGGAGGAAGGAGAGGGTTCATTGTTTTGGTGCTAGTTGCCCTGCCCAGGCCTTGAATGGCAGAAGGTCAAAGTACAGGTCAACATTCCATCATCGAATGCTTTGCGCTTTCAGGGCGAGACCAATTGCAATGTGCACATTGTACAGAACCTGGGCTGATGCTATCTTCAGGTTGTCACTAGCAAAGAGCAGTTCAAAAAGACTCAACAAATAAATATCAAAATCTAACCAATCAAATCAATAGACTAGGAAAAACAGAGAAATCTCAACTGGTTGACACTCTCCGCATATGAGCATGGAACCCCCTGCTTTGGGCTCGGCGTGTGGAAGGGAGTTCTCCAGGCCCCCCCCCCCCAAGGCGCTGAGAACGCGGGCACCGCCAAGGCAGGACTCTGAAACTGCGGGACTTCCAGTCGCGTGTTGCCTCCTCTTTGTTTGAGTAGTTCCCTTGTTAAGGAAACCCGACGAAAAGTCCAACTTCTCAACCAAAGACAGCTGGTTCATTCTTCGAGCCCTCTTCGCCACAGGGCCGCAAGCTGACTCTGCTCAACATGGGTCTTTCTCACAATCGTATTTTCGTGCTCCGCGCGCCGGCTCTCGCATGTCCGCCGCGCGCACCCGCACATGCATGCCCGCGCGCCGCCCCCCCCCCCCACCGCCGCGCGCCCCTCACCGCCGCGCGCGCGCCCGCCCGCCCGCCGGCCCGCACGCACGCACGCGCGCGCCATCAGGAATGGCTTGGGGAAGAATGGCCCCAATTGCGGGCGATGCAGGGCATGCAGGCGATGCGCGAAACACAGGGGGTTCCGAAAGCGTTGGCGATGTTGGCAATGCAGCCGGGTTGCTACATATTTGCTGTGTTGTGAGCCTTCCCTCAACTCGAGCTCCAGTGGCCGCGCGGGTGGTGATGATGCACCAAAGTCTCTGGGAATGCAGACGATGCGAGGGGTCGGCGGCAGCGACCGTCTCTCGGAAGGCAAAGCCTAGGCATGCGCCCCTTTGGGCGACATTGCACGGCGAGGCCGGATTTAAAGGCCTGCGGCCTGGTTCCGCCGCTCAGAATTTCGGCCCACATGACAGAAACAGAACGTAGACATAGAAAGACACACCAAAGACAGACGCAGATACGTAGACAGACACAGACAGACGCACGCAAAGAGACACAGACACGCAGGGGAGACATCCAAAGATCCAGACATCCAGAGATCCACATCCAGCCGACGTATTTTCCCGCCCCAAGGGACATATAGAAAACATATCAACAAAAGCAACACAGAACACACCGCCCCCATGCCAAAAGCGTGGTCCATTCTGGACAGGCATGGGGTCGGCGGATTTGAAGAGAAACCAACAGCATGGCTGTCGTTGGGAAACATTTTACATTTTGTTTGTTGTGGTTTAGTGGTTGGAATCCACACTGAACTGCTAAAAGATATATTTTGCTCCCCTTCCAACGTCAACCAAGACAAGAAGCAACCTTTTTTGAGAAACACCCATATGACCGGAGAAGACTCCGTACAGCCTGTGCTTGACGTTGGGACACTCAAAGCGATGTGAAAGTTCAGAAAGGGCAGATGAATGATATAGCCTCAGCATGTAAAGATGTGGCACTTTCTGTCAGCCATTAAACCGTCGGTGACATGACTCGAATCACAAGTTCAGCCGACCACCAGAGCCATGCACAAGCCTTGCCTTGTTTGCTGGTTGCCAGCTTGAACTCGGACTGATTTGTTGGCTGGCTGGCTGGCTGGCTGGCTGGCTGGCTGGCTGGTTGGCAGGTGATGCAGGTAGTTGCGGCATTTGGAGAATGTGGGTTTGCTTTGCTTCTCCTTCGTCGTGTGGCGGATTGGGTCGCGGGTTCAGCGTAAATGCAGTTTAGGGGGTGCTTGTCATTCTCCAGGTGGGTTTGCATGCTCAGTTGCCAAAGTGTGTTTGTCTCATATCAAGCATTCGAATCTATACAAAACTTTGCTGAGATGATGCCAATCAGCTTCAAGCAGGGTGACAGATCGATCCGTTTCCTGCACTTGCCATGTGTGAGCACGTTTCAGCCCTTGCGAGAAAGACCCCTATCTTTTCTCCTTGAACAGTTTGAACAATGGGTTAGGTGCTACCTGTCGAAGTGGAGGCAAGCATGCGTCTGTCATATGTGTTTCTTCAGAGATTACTCCAAGTAGGCAAACCCTCTTTTAATTCACGCCAACCCGTCCTTTCCAGGCGCCCCGGCCGTTTTGTGTGGGTGGCTAAGCCGACTCGTCAGGTGAAGAGGGCCTTGATGAGGTGGCGGACCATTCAGGGCCTCAGCTCCGGTAAGGTGGATCTCCTTCAGGTGGGGGGGGAGTTGGCTTGGAGCAGACTGATTGTCTTGGTAAACCAGGGGCTTGTTGAAGCAACCGTTGGTTTGAGCATGTTGAACCAGGTGGCCGACCACTGAGAGCTGGTGTGTTCCGAGTCCGGGTGACAGTCAAGAAGTCTAGAGCAAAGTCGCCTGATTTCGAAAGCAACTGGTACGAGAGCTATGACTCATGACCATCCAGGATGGAGCTTTGACTTCGCCTTCCTACCGTTTCATTCAAAATTCGACGGATGTGAAAGGCGTTGACTGACTAAGAGCACTTCTCCAGCATATCCAGCGCAGGAATGTCGTAGGAACCGCACAGTGGGAGGGTACCTAGCCCACAGAGGTTGGAGGTGGCGCGGTGTTTGGACTTGGCTTGTGAAGGTTGATGAGCCACCAAAACAGAGAGATGTTGCAACCCACCTGCCACGGTTCGCAAACTACAAAGCCGACGTTTTGCATCCAAGCATGATCAGACTTATCTTATTCTTCAGATTCCTTTTGACTTCACTGTGGCCGCAAGAGGTGGTCCTGGGCTTTGCAAGTGGCCTTTGGTTGTAACAAGCAACTGTCAGATGCGCATCCATGCGGTGCTCTTGTATGGTGCTTCGGTATACCGACTGTTGACCCCAACAAGACCCTTGTCACCGGCGTGCCCTGCTTTTTGCCTTCGCCGGGACTTTGTTTTCCGCAGGAGCGGCTGCGATCGCGCGATCCGGAGGAGCTGCTCTGGCTGCGAATGACAGCCTCAATCCTTATGTCAGATGGTAGTTGTTGCACTTGCAGTAGTCTTCCACGACAGCTTACAGATTAGGCCCTCCATTTCGAGCAGGCCGCATCAAAATATTAAAAACAAACACAGAACACACAAAAGGAAACAAAGAGCATGGCGTGTGACACAGCTAAGACATTGCGACCTGTACAACAGCATTGTCTCGGCGACTCTATTTTGGCCTTGCACACTAAACAGTTATACTTGACACACACACACACACACACCACACCGCGCACAGGTCCAGCAATACTGCATGCTACCTCCCTTAAGAGGGAGACGAGTTTGGGAAAAGCGTGACTGACAGACGATTCGAAGATGTTGGAGTTGTTGTGAAGCTGTCTGCCCCTTGCTAAGTACATCTTATTCAAAAGCATTATGCTTAGACCCAAGTCAAGCACGCCCCCTATCAACGTCGCTTGTACGTGTGCCTTGATTCCTTTCGGGGGGTTGCAACAAGTCCTAACTTGCTTTGCTAAGTTATGAGGTCACTCATGTGAAGCTCCAGGCACTGCAAGTAGGGAGCCTGGATTCCGAAATTTGCAGTCCCCGTGTCGAACCTGCAATATGAGGTTGTCTCGAAATGCGAGAACCCTCCAACCAAGCTGATGGGTGTCCTTTTGGCCAAACAAAATATCCAACCCAAACAGGGTTACGAAGTTTTCTGTAAGCCCTGTCTAGTCTCCCAACAGGACCGCTCGCGCTCCAGAGATGCTGAGGATTCTTGGGGGGGGGGTTGGGAAGGGGGGTAGTCTGGATGTCTTTCAAAAATGTCTCCTTAGGCATCCCCAAGCAAAAAGCGCAAAATCAGGAACTCCAACTCGCAGTCAGGTGGCTTCCCAAGGCGCAAAGGCTGAGCGTGCCATGGAATCCCTGGAGCCCAAACTGGGCTCAGGCCCGTTGCGTAGTGAAGGTCGCGACGCTTTCAATGGGGCGATGCCTTCAAAATCCTTGAAATGGAGATGCTGAGGGCGTGGTTGCATGTATTTGCGCCAATTCTTCGTGCTAAAACGGAAGGCACGAGGACATCAGCCACGCAGGGTGCCCACCGTTCAAATCAGTTCAAACAGGCAACTGCGCTGAATCAATCTTACTCTGACAGACTCTGACAGGCCAATTCGGGCGCGATTAGGTACGCCATCCAAGAAGAACAGGATCCTTCCAACAGTTCTGCAACGACATCGCAAAGCAAGTGCTCCAGAGTCAAACAAGCTATAGGCTGCCTTTCACTGGGCAAACGGCGCCCATTTTGGGAATTTGCTCCACATGCCTCGTATGTTCTAATCTAGCAAAGACAAGGCGCCACTTTAGTCTTGACTCCGGCACCGCGCTTGTGCAACCATGTTAGTTTGTTCATCATGTCACGGGTTGTCAACAAGAGGGTTCCTCATGTTAGAGCCCATTTGGTTTCTTTACCTTGAAATTACCCCAAGGTGTGCCATGTTGACAAGTGGACCTGCCTTTGTCAGGCCACAAAGCAATGCACTGACCTGTCAGTGCTCCTTCAGGTGGTTGAGCTGACTCCCTCGAACCAAACGGAAGGGCGCTGAGCTCAAACTGTTGGTCCATCGAAAGCTTGAAGCAAGCCATACTCAAAACCCGGGCAAGTGAAGGTTAGGAAAGTCCCAGCCAGAATGAGTGGCGGCCGTTGTAGTTCTTTACATTGGTTTGGGTACACCATTTTAATACATAGCAGGTTGATTGTGAATCAAGTGGAGCTCGCCCTGGCAGTTCCGCCTTTCCGCGTCGCAGGACGCCATTTCGCAGATGCAAGGCAGGATTCAGAAGCTGGAGGCGGAGAATCAGGCGTGCGCATCTCGATTGAGGGCGACTGAAGCCAACGTTTGTTCCTTCTGGTCAGACATATGTGTATATATATATATATCTACATATGTAAGCAGGTGATTAGTGGTTGCACTACCTGGTGTCTTGTTTGCCTGTGCAGCGAGTTATGAGGGTTTCCTTTGACACAAAGTCCGCTCGCTTGGCAGGAGATTGGATAATTCATCCGTAGTTGATTTCAGTATCCAGCGAGGACTTGTTTTTATATGTGGCAAACGCGGGTCGGTCTCGCTGGGATGAATCATTCAGCACTTAGTAGATACTGAGCAGCTCATCTTTGCAGCCGTCTCTCCGCTCGATGTTTCATTGCTGAGCATGCAGCTGGCAAAGAGGGCGGCAAAGCGACAAAACGCTGCAGAAGAGCACGTTGTTGTCCAACTAGTGCATACTATTTGTGAGTTTGCAGCTTCTCAGATCCACTACTTAGGCCGTGGGGTGATGGGTTGTTCAATGTCGTGAACTTTGCAACTGCCTCTTTGTGAGAGATACAATAATTCGCCCTGAAGCCCAAAAGCAAGCTGCCAAGCAAGCTTCTGATTGCATCAAAGATGCCGTACATACAATCCACCCATGTGGTTGGGGCCCAAACTTGGGACTCGCAGGGCACCACAAGGGCAATGTGAGGCCTCGCCCTGAGTGCTATTTGTCCACATTAGGATTGCGTCTGGCCCTTTTTCAGCCCTAGTCAACCGTGGGATAACGGGTGCTTTCTGAAACAGAGCACCCGCTGTTTGGCTGGTGTTGAAGAACAAAGATAAAGCTATGCCTTTGTGGCACCTTCCACACATGGAGAGTGTCTCAGTCATTTTGTGTGTTTTGCCTTTTGTACTCGTATTGGTTTCCCACGGCCTGAGAAGGGAACAGAACAAGTCCCACTTTTCCCTCGCAACTTCGGCCACTGGCGGGCGCTGATCTACCTATTGCATTTTGTGATTGTGTTTGCGCAAGCCAGGAGCTTGGTAACGCAACATGTTTCTGCCATTATAACAGGAATATAATTTATTAACATATATATATATACATATATACATGTCAATATATGTATATAGACACCTGTCATCAAATTGATATGGCATCATTAGGTCCTGAACAAGTCCTAGGCCCACATCGTTCCAGACACTCCATTCCAGTCCTCCGATCCAGACCCTTACCCAAGCAGGGAGCGAATGAAAGGATACCAAGAGCGAAAGAGAGACAGAGAGAGAGAGAGAGAGAGGGAGAGAGGGGGAGAAAGAAGCGTGACAGGGGGAGAGACGGGGACAGAGGTTCCAGACCCCGTTCCAACACATTCAAGACCTGTTCCAGACCATTCCGAAGCTCCGCACACGGAGGGTTGCGGAGGTTGAAGAGCTGCCAGTGAAGCTTCTGAATGCTCCATCAAAGTGTTGCAGACTTTCTGAACAAGAGTGTTTGATCCAGACCTCCTTCTCTGGGTCGTAGCCACATACTGATATATGCACCTACATGTCATGGAATGCTGTTTTGAATTTTGAGCGTTTCAGGCGCAAGCCCCCTGTCACCACTGTAGCGCCTTTCTTTGAGAACCGCGCGGCCGCAGGCGCTTCGCGGTCACACAGGCCGTCGATGCGGGTTTTCATTGGAAAGTCACACCTGGGATCGCGCGAAACGTGCGGAGTCCAACAACCAGCATAGACACTCCTTGCGAAAGTTGCACGCAGTTCCCTAGGTGTGACAAGCCAGCGGTTTGGCCACGCCGTCTTTGCTCTGTGGTAAGTTCTGTTGAAGGAGAACTTTATGCGAGGAGTGTTCTTTCTTCAGGTCCTCCAAGTGTGCGGCCTGTCGACATCACAAGAAATGTGTTGCTTCACTGCAGGCAAGTTGCGAACAATCATCGGAGGCCACGTTATATAGGTATATAGACGTGTGTGTGTGTGTGTGGTGGCACATGGCAAGTGAGGAAAGCAAACTTCCGCATTGCACATGCCCAAAGAGGACTGAAGCTTTAGAGGTCCTCTCGCTGCAGGCATCTCAGGTCCTGTGGAGCCTGCGCCCTTGACGGAGGAGACTTGGCGATGGCACCAAATCGGATGTGCCCAAATATGATCCCAGACTCTGCAAGTTGCTTAACTGCGTGGGAATGGCACAGACTGGGAATGCAAAAGTTGCCTCATGTCTCTGTCAAGCAAATCCAACGTACACAGTTATTCAGATCTCCAGATACTCTTCGCCTCTCCGGACGTCACTATGGTGTTTGCTAACAAGTAATCATGCTACCATATTGAGCATTCGAGTGTGCGAACATTTGGACTGCGCACTCCTTCCTCATTTTGCGAGTATAGCCAGTTTTAGCCAACTAGTGCCTGATGTGTCAAAGAAGGTTTGGCTAGTTCCATCCTTTTCTTTGCACATGTGCATCGATGCTTACTCATGGCCAGTTGTCACAGAACTCGCCACGCTTTGGCCA